CGAGACTGCGAAGCCAGACGAGGCCCTGATCGACCATCTGACCTCCCTGAAGACCGCGTTGCCTTTCCCGTTCTGGCTAGACCTCTCAGACCTTATATACCTCCCAAACTCGATGACCAGGACCGTCATCCGGGTGTCGAAGATCTACCAAGACGGAGATCCCTCAACCGTCAACCGCCGATGCAGTAGAACTTAGAGCATTAGGACTACAGCTACGACCACACCTTTAACTAACTCGACTTTACATTTTGCCTCGAACTCCACACCTGGGTTTGAGTCTCCTTGTTTGCCTGCGCCGCGCCTACCCATTAACTTGTCGTAAAACCCCGCGACACTAACGCTATGACTAAGCTAAGCAGGACCAGCCATCTTGAGCTGGTAAACAAAAAGGGCCGGGGGTGGTCCGAAGCAAAGGGGCGGCGAACCCTTTGCTGTTTCCTTGGCACGTAGCGGCGTCGTTGGCCGCTCGTGGGTTGGGGCCTGGCTTTGTCTTCAACCTGTGTGCCGTGGTACAGCCACGTGGATCCGGATCTTGTATCCGGAACTGTGACACCCTCCCACACTCAAACGAGAATATGGGAATATGCAAATCAACTGGCGCGTGGTTGATGGTCGTTGGACGTTGCCAACTGGCGATCGTCAACTTTGCTCACTGGGTGTCATTCTTGAATTTGACGGCATGGCCGACGACCAACGGAAGAAGGCCAAAGAGGTCGTGGACTTGACCGGTGACGACTCAGACAGTGATGAGTATTTCTTCGCGGGAGCCCAGCGGCTCTGGACGGGCAGTGAAGATCCTCTGCTTTATCTGTTCATGAAGAAGGAAGAGCAGCGGATCCATGCGGAGCACCAGGCTACGGCCGACTTGGTTAAAACGGCGCTGCGCACGGTGGGACCCATGGCAGTGCGGGAGCTCCTGCGAAACGAGATCGTGGCCTTGGAAGAGCGCCACAGAAAGAAAGACATGCGGCTCCAGCGGGAGATGGAGCAGGCGGCCGAGGAGTCAATGGCTGAGTCAATAGCCGAGGCCGAAGCACAGGCAGCGCAAGCTGCCGAAGACCAAGCGGGAACGGCAGGCGCGGACACCCGCGGTGGTACAGGTGCAAGAGCCGCCGGTTAGGCAAGCGGCGCCAGGGGTGCAAGCAGCGCCAAACATCAAGATCAAGGATGAAGGCGTTGGGCAGATGGCGGTCGAGAATGGACCGCTCGGAATGCGCGAAGTGCGTTTGGAGGACGTCCGCACCTTGAAGCTGCACGAACAGGACAAATCCGCCCTCGGGGTCTGCGTGGACTATATCAACGGCAGAACGCGCCGTTTGCGGGTGTTGCAGCAGCTGGACTCGCGGCTGCAGGATTGGGGGTGGACACCGGCGTTGCGTGAGCCGGTGGAGCGATATCACACTGTGTTTTGTCGGAGTGGGTTGTTCGAAACCCAGGTGATGTGGCTTGTGTGTGCCTTGGAGCACATGACGATTTTAGACATTCCCTTGGCGGAATTTGTGGACTGGAAAGACAAGATGCGCGAGCGCATTTCGGACTGGAGCTACGACGCTCCGCGGGTCGTACGGTACCAAGACGAAACGATGTTTGAATACATCATTGTGTTCGTCTTGGTGTTGTTGAAACGCGAGCGAGGTGGGAAGCGGCGGCTGGGCCAATTGCCGCACAATGTGGGGCTGTTGGCGAACGGGATGACTAATTTCGCCTTGGTTCGAGCTGCAAGCGGGCGGGTGCCCGCAGAGATTGTCTCCTGGCTCGCAGTCCGCGTTCGAATGCGGCGCGCTCTTGAGGTAAGGACGCTCTTGTCGCTGCGTCTGATCTCCATGTTGTAGTTGGCCCGTCTTGGATCAAGTACTGGCGGCCTGCGGGTGCCCAACGTGCGCCAAGCACTGCCGGGGTTTGCGATGGGGTCGAGACCGGCTCCGAGTGGGGCGCCGGCGAAGCGAACGGCTGCAGGTCCGACTCATGAGTCGAAGCGTCGTGCGGGGCTTGAACGCCGCAGCCCGTGGTATGTCGACCCGAGGGGGGCGCGGATGGCGGCCGGACCACCGGATGCGGGGTACTATGGGGCTCCGCAGGCCCCGTCGGTGGTTGTGGGGACGCCTTCGGTTCCGGTGGCGGCGCCGGTGAAGCGGGAATGGAAGCAGGAGTCGGCGTCATCGGCCGAGGATGGGTAAGTGGCAGAGGAGTCCGAGGAGGACTTCGGGGATGAGCCGCCGCGGAGTCCAAGTGACCGCCTTCCGTCGTTGCATCGCTGGTAGTTGTAGGTGTAAGGTATAATTTGAGTTTTCCTAGATAGAAGGTTGGGTGGATCTGCCAAGCTGGTGGCAGGTCGAGGGTGTATATAGTCGGGCTGACAACTTTCTTGACGGCAAAGGGGCCGTGCCATGCGCTTCGAAGCTTGATGTTGTGTTGACCGCTGTCGCGAAATGCATGGGTAGGGATAGCGGACTTGTGAAGGAGGACTTGGTCGGTGACTTGGAAAGTCGCCATGTTGGAACGGCCGCGCCTATCGGCTTGAGTAGCTTGTCGCTGTTGGGCGGTGGCTAGGTTATCTTTGACCTGTTGCATGACAGATTGGCGCTTGGAGACGAAAGACTTTACATCTTGTATAGTCCGGATCGGGGCATTGGGGGCGTTGATTTGGATCCCTCCCCCACTCAAACGGGGACTGTCTAAGAGTTGAGGCAGCCGGGGGTGCTGCAAGTGGACCGCATAATGGGGTGAGAACCCGGTGGACGCCTGAACGGAGGCGTTGTATGCAAATACTGCGTGGGGTAAGAGAGTACTCCACGTGGAGGACTGACGGACGGAGTAGGAGCGAAGAATGTCCTCAAGGACACGGTTTGTGCTCTCCGTTTGGCCGTCCGACTCGGGGTGGTCGGAGGTGGACATGGCGAGGTCGGTGTCGCAGAGGTCGAAGAGCGTCGACCAGAAGTGGGCAGTGAAACGGGGGTCCCGATCAGAGACGATGGATCGTGGGAGGCCGAAGCGACAAAAGACGTTGTCAAAGAAGAGGCGAGCGGCGTCGTGGCCGTGACGAGTCCTTGACAGGCACTGCCACCACGTACTTGGAGGCGCGATCGACACACACCATGATGCCAGTATGGCCACGTACATCGCGTGGAAGGCCAAACATGAAATCCATACTGATGGACGACCAAAGTTCGTCGGGTGTCGGGAGAGGTTGGAGCG